GGGCTTAACATCTACCTTTATGTCCCGCAGGGCCGGGGGCAGGATCTCTGCCAGGTTGTTTCCAGACGTGTTGATGTTGGCGAGCTGTTGGTACTTTGCTTCCTGCTGCTCCAGTCTTGCTGCAGCTTCAGCGTGAGCACTGTTACATGCCTTCCAGAGCTGCAGCAGACTCTGGGCCCTCTGCAACTGTTCTGCAATGTCTTGGTTTACCTGGGTCCACCTGCCAGGGCAACATGAACAGGATCCCCAACCATCCTTTGCTTTGCAGCAAAAGCACAATGCACACACTCTTCCCATAAGTCACTAGCAGATGGATTCAGAAGACACTGCTTAACGCCCTTTTAAAATCAATGGCATCATCATTATATAATCAGAATTCCAAATTAGGATATTTCATTGACTTTACAATTCTCAACAAAAACTAAAAAATTTGTGATTGGCAAGAAGTATCTATTGTCTTAGGATAGGAATGTCTCAGGCAAAGGTGGAGAAAATACTGAACTATATGCCTGATGAAACTTTCTCCACTTGGGAGGGACTCTTATTTTACAGAACGGGTTTTTTAAATAGGCCTTGTTTAAAATGTGTTTATGTCAAATTTGTTTTCCAATTACAAAAGCAACATGTTCCTTACATAAATGTAGAAGTAAAAAACAACATAGTTCCCTACTTCTCAGCAAAGGGTATTTATTTTCTATTGTTTTCTAATGTTTTAATGTTTTTTAGAAATACGCTATGTTGTAGGACTAATTTCTTTGTGGACTGAAAGAAGAAAATGGAAATGGCTGATATTAACTGGTATCTGATAATATTTTATTTCTTCTTTAGAGAAGTGTTAATTCCTGTGTCTTCTCTGTCTACTTAGGCTGATTTGCATCAGAAAGGTACTTACTCGGTCTTAAGTCACTCATTGTGATCTTAGTCACATGAGTAGAGAAACTTGTTCCCAGGTGTACCCTTCAAAGGATGCTAGCACACAGTCAGTGAGAGAAGGCAGCAGCCGAGTACTCAGGCCCCAGATTTATACAGCTGGTCTCTGTAAGGGGCCAGACTAAAAAAAATCACCTTGGAGTCTGTGACCTTAACTAGTGCTCTTGATGAAATTTAGGTAGAGACTGCGTTTTTAAAGTAGATACCGCCAAATTATAAACAATGGCAAATATTAAAAATTTATTTTGCATCCATGAAATTAGCTAATTTTGTAGGGCTGGCCCATGCACTGGTTGTACGAATTTTTTTTTGGATTCTCATTTACACGCAGTCAAACTGCTAAGAAAACTAAAAATTGCAATAATAAGAAAAATAAGAAGAACGTGTTTTCTGTAATACATTTTTCATTCTTTTAAAATTGAAAAGTAAAAAAAAAAGTAGAAATAAAAAAATTATTTTTATTCCATACTACAGATTGTAGTATCTTGCCTTTCTTTCTCATTTAACTTAAAAAAGATTTTCCCACATTATTAATAAAAAGTAAGTAAGCCTAACTCTAAATGGCTATACACAATGGTCTATATGTGGTCTGTTTTTTGTTTCAGTACTAAATTTCAGTTTAGTCTGGATACTGGAGTAATTTTTAATTTTTGCTTTCAAACATAATGTTCAGATACAACTTTGTTCAAAGGCTTTTTTCTGTATTTGAAGATATTGATCTTAAACTAGATTTCTTAGAGATTTATTGGGCCAAAGAATATAGATACGTAAATATTTTTAATGTTACAAGTACATGTTCAAACTGCTTTCTGAAAGCATTATAATATCTACATTCTCATTTGAAGCACATGAGAATGACTGTTTCACAATATCCTCAAATCCTGCTAAACGGGCAAAAAAGGTGAAAAATGATGGCACAACTGCTTCACTTTTATGTATTTCACAAATCTCAGAACCATCTATTTTTAAACAAGATTCTCCCTGATTATATAAACAACATATGCTTACAAACCCCACAAAACACGTATGTTTAAACCTATCTAACCCTAACTACACTGAGATTATCTACGCATCTACCTACCTACCTGGCTATAACAAGGAAGTAAAAAACCACCTGACATCCCATTAATCAAGAGACAACCACTATTAGCATTTTGGTGCTATCTTCTTCAGTCTTTTCCAGTATGCCTTCTGATACACTCTTGTGCCAGCAATTCAATGTGAGTGTGCAGTGGTGACAACTGAATCTCTTTAACAGCAACCTGCACCACCATATGCTTCGAAGGTGACTCCCAATACTGTACGTGGAGTCACACATGAATCTATGTTACTCTCCCTGCACCCGCTTCCAGTAAGGACTGGATCAAGAGCTGAGGACACCAATGCAGGGTATATAAATTTGGTGTCCCTTGTTCAATTCTTATTCAGAGCTGGTTTATAGGAGAGGCTAAATCTGCACGAGGTGGAGGTCACTGAGGGCAGCTTAATCTCTTCATCACTGTCTGAAGCAAATCAGCTTTAAGACAACTTTCACATCCCATAGCAAAATAAAAGTCTCACAATTAACCAGAGTTACATTACTTAGAAGGCGCTTTCTACCATAAGCATCAAAGAATTCCTCCCAACCTCAGAAATCATCTCCAATATCCCCTGTCTTCCAGCTGATAATGTTTCTAGTAAGACAGACTGCCCATCAGGCCACCCCTTAGTCTGTTTCTGTCAGTGATGCTGGTGTCCCGGAGGACTACAGCGGGCATTTAGCCCATGCCCAGTGAAAGTAGCTCCTCTGGGGCTGTAATTAGGACATTTCTAGATTGATTAGACTAAACACTTGTTCAAGGCAAGAATAGCCTTCACAACATCAACTCTTACATGAACTAGATCCTTCAAAGCAGGGGAGACCAGAATAGTACGAAATCAATAATCTCAGATGATCAAGAAGACTTTACAAAGCCTACATCACCTCATTTGCCATGTGTCATTAAGTTAAAAATATTTGACCTACTATTCAAATTGCATCTTAAAGAGTACCTTGTGTGAGTATTTTGGCATTTCTCTTGAATTATTTCAGCAACTGTGGGGCAGTAATCTTTGAGTTTGCCAATAACCTCCTGGAGCTTCTTCCAACTCCCTTCACTGCTCTCAGCTTCGTCTTGAAGAGACTACGAGGACAGAGAGGAATGTTAGTTTCAGAAGGGCCTGGGCCCATTCAAAGAAGGCAGCAGCTTGTCAACACTTGCTGCTATATCACAATAATATTAACACTCACACCTTAACAGGACAGGGATAAATCATTAGAAATGTGAAGAAGAGAACAACTGAAAAGGCATTCTTTCATTCGAGGCTAGAACTTAAAAATAGCATACTTAAAAAAAAAAACACCCAAACCAAAACCTTTAAATTGTGATATAATATGGACATGACAGATGAAGAAAAATTCACTGTAGACTTTTTACAGAGTTTCACTCATTTGGCTCGTGTGGTTCATTTTGGCATTTCAAGTTACAACTTTGACAATGGTGTTCAAAATACTGCTTTGTGCTTCTCTGTGGAAAGCGTAGTAGCAGTTGTGTCTCTTTCTGTGCTTTCTTCCATTGGAGAGCTTCTGCCAATAATGCACTGTGCCAAGATCTGGTTAACTTACCTGAAGATTCTGCACCTGACATCTTAAGGCCTCTAATGATAAAACCACAGGCTTGCTGTGTTCCATGCAGTACCCGAATCGGATTGTCATCATATTCACTTCATCATAGAGTTTATCATAAATCTTCCACTCCTGTAAGACAGACTGCATGGAGGTCTTGAGCTCACCAACCTACACAAGAAGTGGAAACACATTTAGGAAATCATTGACAAGAGGCTCTCTCACCATTTTTCTTCCCTTCTCAGGACTCTACCATTGTACCCAATTTAGACATTTCAATTCGAGGGTGCTGGGAGGGAGCTCTGGTGATTCACTGAAGGTCAGGAGGTAGGTCAACGAATAAGAAGTATCAAATGAGACTAAGTTTTAGAATAGGCTAATGGAAAAAAGCCCTGAGAACAGAAGGATCAGCACAGAGAGAGTTCAGCCCATGGAGGGACAGCCCAGGGAAAGAACGCTGGGTGAGGAGTCAGAATCTCTGAGTGTACGTTTCCGTGACATCTGATTAGCTGTCTGACTTGGGCCAGATATTTAATCCTTAAATCTGTTTCTTCATCCACAAAACGGATATAATAAAGGAAAACATAAAGAAAATACCGTCTGTGAAAAAGCTTTGAAAACTGTAAAGCATTATAAATGTGTTGCCTAGCACTTAAGTCTGCTTACTCTTAGGGAGCCAGAATCACACTTGGCCAAAATGATGGGCAAGTGCAAAGCAGCAGGAAATAGCCTTAGTGGCCGTATCTTACTCTGTAGTATGTTTTGATAATCATGAAAGGATTAAAGCTGAAGCATGTAAATGATCTCTGATACAATCAGACTACATAAGTATATACATCTTTATATATTACATAAAGAACACTTACATCTCAGCAATAATAAGACAAATAGCTAAACTAAAAAATGGACAAAGGATTGAACAGACATCTCTCTAAGGAAAATACATAAATGGCCAATAAGCAGATGAAAAGACACTCAACATCCACAGTTGTTAGAGAAACATAAATCAAAACCATGAGATATCACTTCACATCCACTAGGATGGCTACAATCAAAGTTGGGTAATAACTAGTGTTGGCGAGACTACGGAAAAATTGGAACCCTTGTACATTGCTGATGGAAATGTAAAGTGGAGCAGCCTCTGTAGTAGAGTTTGGCAGTCCCTCAAAAGGTTAAATACTGTATAGGGTTATCGTATGACCCACGTGTTCTACTCTCAGGTATATACCCATGAGAACTGAGAGCGTATGTTCACAAAAGGAAACCTATACACAAACGTTCTCAGCAGCGCAGGAGGGCTTCCACGTCTCCATATCCTTGTCAACACTTGGCACGGTCTGTCTTCTTATTGTAGCTATCCTCCTGCAGCCTGAGAGCATTTTGGGGGTCAGACCATTTATTTTCTTGTGTATCATTGCACCCTTGGCAGTGAGCATAGTGCCGCCCAGAATATATGTTAACAAATGACTCACACAAGACATGTTAAGCTCATCCCTACACTCCTGCCTGAGTTCTAGGGGAAGAATGAGGCTGAGGGCCGCCTGTGGATTTCATTCATACAGGTCATTCCCAATTCTCTCTTGGGACAAACGGTTCAAAGTAGAGTTTAGTAGATAACAAATAATCCACAAGAAGGCCTCTGGAAAATACAGACACACCCATTAGGAGGTTAGTATTTACAGTGTCTCCCTCCATATGCAGGGAGACATCAGGGTTGCAGAGTCTGAATATGCCTGTCCTTTCTCTTTCAGTGCTCTCCCCACTGATGGGGTAAATGCAGACTCTGACACGCCTTTCATACAATTACCAGACGTCTTCTGCACTCTTCTTCCAAGCTTTCTCCTCACCCACATGCTGTTTTTCCTCCACCTCTGGAGTTTTCCCTATGCTGACCATGTTCCTAGCTGAGTAGAAGCTACACGAGATAGGACCACTCCCTCTCTGAAGCATCAGCTTGGGTGGGAGGAATCTGAGCTGCTTCTTCATAGCTGCTCCAAAATATCTGGCCAGGAAACAATGCCAGATGCTCCACTGGATTTGGGGGAGGTGGAGACATTTTTGTCTGTGTGAGTATACCAGACAAAACAAAGATAACCGAGTAGGTTTCTAGCTTGCCAATGACGTGGAAATTTGGTGGCTTTGCCTCTAATTATCCAGTGCAAAAATCCCCATGGGATTTGAAATGCTTTTCTCCACTTAAGTATTTTTCTCAGTAACTTTTTAGCTTTTGCTATGGAGCGAGTGCTCATTATTAAACAACAAATAAGACAAAAGGATATGTGAAGAGAAATAGTACACTTGGAATGAATTCTGGTACCTGGTGGATAACACTGGCTTTCTTTTGAAATAACTCATCAATTCTGGATGCTGTATCTTCCAACAGTGGCATTGTCCCACTCTCCAAAGTCAAATAACTCTCTCTCAACTCATCCAGTGCTTTGGATTTAATTGCAAGTTGATTTTCTATATCCTGGAAGGACAAGAGGAAAATGTTTTTATATGCTCAGTATTACAAAACAATGAATAACGGGTAAGAGACAGGAGTCCCCACTTTTCAAGTAAAAGTGCTGTTAGAGTATATAATTAAATAACATTACACGAAGACATTTTACTATCACACTCTAAATTTAATTTTTACAATGAAATTTTGTAGTATAAATATATAGTATTACCATATGAATTTTTACAGTAATTTCGATTGATTACATGGCTCTAGATTTAGAAGAATTTGGTAACAAGTCCTTATCATCATGGTATGGCAGAAAGAGTCCAGGAGATACAGTCCCTGTTACGGGTCTGCCCTGTACTGGCATTTGGATCAAGCATTCAGCCATCAAACCCCCAAGTCTGCATTTTCTCATCAGGAAGATAGTGATGACATCCCACGCCTGAATAACTTAGAACTCAAGGGAATCCACGGTGGCCTGTTGTGGGTGGTGGAACTCTGAGCTGTGGATTGGAGGCTTCCAGTCAGGAGGTATGTTGAATCAAGGTGGCTGTAAGAACTCTAAAATGGAGATGGCCAGTGGGTAGTTAGAAACAAAATACGACCATTTGAAAAGATCTTTTATGTTGGTGTTCCTGCTCACATATTATGTCTAGTGTTACTCTGTAACCTTCCAGATAGAACTGGGGTCTGAGCAGACTCTCCACCCCCAACGGTGAGGAGTGCCATACCTTCAGGTAGTCGGTATAGACGCAGCATCACCTGTGCCATCTGCAGCTATGGGGGCAGTGGAACTGTTCTCAATGGCGAGTGACATAATCGGGCAGTGTGGAGGGAGGAGTAATCCACACTTGTGTGAGGGCGCCTCTAAGACTAAGTTACCTGGCAAATGACAACTGAACAAAATAGGGCACAGCCAACATGCTCTAGCCCAAATGTGATTAAGACAGTAGTTCCCAGGGGAAAGTGGTCCTTTTAAAAGACGTTACACAGTAGATAAAAAAACATTTTCTTCTGAAGAAACAGAATGAAATATCAAAAATTATGGAGACTTCAGATTAATTCTGTAAATACTGGATAAATTAATAAAAAAACATAAAAATTGGAAAACATTTAAATCAAAATATTTGGAACATTTCTTTCTCTGGAGTAGCATTCAAATCTCTTAAGAACAACAATAATCATGAAAATACCTTCTTCTATTTATCATAAAAATAGCATTTTGCCGTAATGTAAAACTCATGGACACATCTATTTACTATAAGAAAGTAAATACATATCTTGTAGTAACCAGTAATGAAAAAGAATATGGAAACAAATACATGTATGTACAGGTATGACTGAAACATTATGCTGCAATCAGAAATTGACACATTGTAACTGACTACACCTCAATAAATTTTTTTTAAAAAAGTAAACACATGGGGGTTTAGAGGAGAACCTTCAGAAAAGATAACACCTTGCCCTACTCCTTGGGGCAGGAGTTGTGACCAATAGCCTAACCAAGCCACCTGGACAGGTGCTCTGTGCCTCCTCACCTGACAATCCAAGAGCATCTTCTGCACTGAGATCACACTTTCCGGTTTTTGTAAACTGTTCAGTCTCTCCTCTTGTGCCTCCATCCAGTTGTTCAAAATCTGTATTTTGTTTTCATTCTCAGTGATACTTTCCAAAAGTTGTTCTAAATGTTGAATCTACCAGTTATGAATAAGAGAAGAAAACTTTCTGATTTTAAAACACATGCTTTAAAACGTAAACATCATGACATGTTATTTTTAATGGGATAATTTTGTTCCTTCTCAGATTTCTAATATTTTACTTAAGATTTCCAAATAACTTTTGGAATAAAGATTCATAAATCAGGAAATAAGAATTAAAATCTCCTTTTAAAAAAAAATCTAATATTTGGAATGAAAGCTAACCTGCTAAGAAAGCTGGCTACTTTGGAGTCCCATAATATTTATATAAAACAAAATCATGTTGCTAACATTCAATATTTTTTATTGCATCATCTATTGATATAAGGAAAGCTTAAGAAAATTTTCTTTCCCCAGACTCTCTTCATTAGACTCACTTAAAAATTAAGTCAATATAAAAAATATACATAATTCATCAATTTAATAAAATATTTTTAATGTCTGTGATTCTTGTCATTACTAATGCTCACAATGTTTATAGGTTACAATCACAGTATATGTAAAGTTTTATAGTTTTATATTCCTTTTCACATAGGCACTTGTTGTGTCATAACATATGATTCATATTAACTTAAAAGGCTGCCCAATAATTCATCAAATGGACACCATATAATTTGATTAATTATTTCCCTGGAGTTGGGAATTCAGTCAGTCTACATTTTTCACCAGTATAAATAATGTTGAATTGAACACTTTGTGCACATATTTTTTCCTTTTTGAAGGACTATCTACTTAAGATAAATGTGTAAGAAGTGGACTGCTGGGTTAAGAGATAAGATGATGATTATGGTTCTCGAAATTCTCTGAATGCTTTTCAAAAGGACATGTAAGCCATTACCTGCAATGTATGAATGTGAGAGCTCTGGGCTTTTATCTTTATATTGCTAAATTTTTCTACTTTAATAAGTATATAATGTTATTAATGTTTATTTCAAATGTCTAATACTTGATGCTGTAATCTTTCCATGTTTATTTGCTAATTATTATTTTCTCTTGTGGATTATCTGCTCACGCTCTTTGTCCATTCATGTACTTGAATCTTAATTGTATAAATCCATTTGCATGCATTCTCTACACAATAAAAGAAATCAACCAATCATCACTTTTATATATAAATATTAAATATTTTCCTAAGAATAAGTTTCCTTAATCTTTTCAGTCATGGAATGAAAATCTACCAGAAGGTCACACACGTTTTCCTTCCTTTTTATAATCTTTCTGAAGCTGAAATAGCTTTGCTGCTTTTGAACATCTACTTTCACAGAAAAAAATCAAAATCTCTGACCACTTAGGTACCTCACGTAATACTCAACAGCTTAAAAGAAAATTTCTCCTTAGCACTTGCCTACCTCAATTTCCCACTAAGAAATTGCAAAGAAATATAAAAACTCTTTCCTACTCTTACATGGGCCAATAGGGACTGCTGAAACGTAGGACTTAAAAAGGGCTAGAAATGAGTTGATTATTAGGCTTAACTATAAGTCGACTATATGAATGTATTTTAAAATTTTTCAGAAAGTGGTGTTTTGCAAAGGCCAAACCATACATCAGACTGTGACTCATGAGCACACCTCTCTATTCAGCTTCCCGTGGACCCGGTGCCACTGACGGTTCATCTCTCCCAGGTGCTCTGCAAACTCTGTTCTCTCATAGCGCTTGCTTTCTACATCACAGGTGCTTAATTGAAGTAATGACTGGTTGACAAAATCAACTATCCATTGTTTGTAGTCCATTTCCATTCTAAATTCCTAAAACAAAAACCAAAATTCAACAACCAAAGCCTAAACTGAGAGATGAATTGGACCTCCCCTCTGTGCACTCTAGGGGGCGCCAAGCTCCCACCCATTAATCAAGAGGCACCTGTCTGGAGTTACATTCTACCCTCCCCTAACTCCTCCAGGTGTCTGCTTTATTGGAACGGAGAGACTTTTTAGGAATTCCACATTCCTGGGAACAGAGGGACTCACTCCTTTCAAATAGACTGAAAAGTCAAAGGTGGTACCACGTATGGTAGTTGCATCATAGAAACCAAATCAGGACCCAGGGAGTGACAAAGCGTTCCTGTGAGAGGCCTCCTGAGAGCTATGTTGGAATTCAGAGCCATCCCGTGGGCTCATGGAAACAGCAGGATGGGAAGCCTGAAGTTACGACTCTCCCAGAAAACCCAGGACACCTTTAAGGAACTCTGCCAGTTCATCCAGCTTCTCTGTTCCTCGGAGGACCATCTAGCCCTCCCAGTTTGAAAAACTTTCAGTTCTACAGCAATCCTAAACTCTCCCAGGGTCAAGCATGCTTCTGTCGAGCCTGATACTTTTTGGATTTACCCTGGCAAGTTCCAACACCAACTCTGGAAACATCCAGGGGGAAAACTAAGTGGTATGCGCTAGGTTACTAGATCTTGAGAGAATACATATGTGTGGACCTTCTACAGACTTTACCATTCACTGACGTTAGGACGGGACAGGACATAGAGATAAAATCCTTGCTAACATCATGCTTTATGATTAAGCCATTCATCTTCTGCCTACCAGAGGCTAGATCCATCAGCCTGTAAGGTCTCTGAAAGCAATGATTGGGATCTTCATTCATCTGTGTTCCTAGGGGCGAACCTTGCCCAGCACACAAAAGTGTTTGTGTGTGGCTTATTAAATGTTAGTTGAATCTACTTGAAATCAAATATCATGGAGAAGGCCACATTCCTCTCTATTTGTAGAAGGATATTAACTTTTCCTTACGCATTCTCTCATTCAAAGAACATTTATTTAACACCCACTGGATGCCAGGTGTTGGGCTAGGTGTGCTATTTCAGGGGGGTGAAAGAGGGCCCCTGCTCTCAAGAAACTAAGTCAAGGTGGGGAGACAAGCAAGTAAGCAAATAATTATAATACTCGGTGACAGGAACTATTGATAGTGCCATGAAGACATCTAATCCTGGAAAGTAAACTGATCTGTCCGGGAGAGTTGGGTAGATTCCCAAATGGGGAGATACTTGAGCTGACTCTTGAAGGATGACTAAGAGGATGTCTGCAGCTAAAAGTGGGACACTGGAATTTCAGGCTGAAGGAACAGCACGTACAAAAGCATGAGGGGGAGAGCGCTGAAAGGGGTCGAGGGACCGCAAAGGGTTTGGTTCAGGCAGAGTCCCGGGTTTATGTGCGGAAATGAGGCTGGAGAGGCAGAGAGAGGCCAGGGCCAGTTAAAAAGCTCAGATACTGTCCTGTGGTGGCAGGAGCTACCAAAGGAATGTGGGCAGAATAAGAACAAGTATACCAGCTTATCAATCCACCATCCTACAGTAATTTTTCTAAATTATATCCTCCATGTCTCTCTTCAGTATTTCCCTTCTGACCGACTTGCCTTCTTATTTAATGAAAGGGCTTCTGGCTCTTTTGTATAATTACCTTGTACTTCTGAAGAAGACTTTTAACTTGAGATGCAGAACTCAGTGAATGCTCGGAACCTTCATCTGCAGTTTGATGTTCCACATTGTTCATCCAGCTAATCATTTCTGTGATTGCTTTACGAGACGGCAATTTCTCCATCTGAAGCTGCAAAAACAGAATGATTTCCATTTAATTACCTGCAGTTAACAAAATGAATCAGGGCATCACTAAAGATGATATCTGGTTTGATAAAAGGTCTTGCTACATAATTATGCAGGTTACTCACAAAAACAAACCCAGCATTCAAGCTTAGAAAAAGTGACCCCAAAACAATGACAATGACCTTCACATAAACTAACACAGTGGTGCAGATAAACTGGGAAATAAAGTAATTAAGCCTGATTTCTCTTAAGAAAGATCCCGTTGGAGGAGAGTCCAGTAATTAAGACCTACATTCAGTGGTGCCAGAGAAAAATAGGTGGTGTCAATGAAAATTATTGAGTCAGAGAAATAATTTTAGAAGAGTTGCAAGCTAACAAGTGAATGCTAATTCGAATGCTGGGTCTTTAAATACTCACCTGGTGAAGTTTTTCTTGAATGTCTGGAAGTTGAGTGATGAGCACTGTCCACTTTTGTTCAAACTGTGCTAAAGAAGCTCTCAGTGCAGCTGTATCAGCTTCTTTCAGGTGGAGAAGCTGGTTCCCAGTACTTAGAACTGCAGTCTTCAAGGAGGACTTTTCATCAAGTTCCTTTGAAAACTCCTAAAAGGAAACAGTTTTAAAATTTAGAAACTTTTCAAAGTTAAATATGGCATGGAGTAACAAAGGGTCAGAATACTCAATTCAATTCAAATAGTAAATATTTATATGTGTATTTGTGTACATGTATACATGCTCATATTTGTGCACAAACACACACACATTTTTCCTACTAAGTGTCAGGCACTGTTCCAGGCATTGGATATATGATGGGGAACAAAAGAGATGGAATTCCTGCCCCCTGAATGGCTTATCTTCTGGTAGATCAATATTTTTAAAAATAGACAAGTCTTCATTTCAACTTTATAAAAGGAAACTATAGAACAAAACACAAAGTTCATATTAAATGAACTAAATGCAACAAAATTTTAACTAAAATATTTTAAATCTTCACTGTGTACTTATAGGTTGTTTACGTATATTTTAAAATATTTTACATTTTAATATCAAAGTGAGAAATCATAGCTACAAAATATGAGAGAAGAGAAAAGTGGAGAGAAGAGAAGCACTAGGGGAAAAGACAAAAAGGTTTCAAAAGTATAATTTATATTACAAAAGTTAACACTTTCTTTTCTTCAAAAAAATCATAATAGAACAATAGCATTTCAGTAGAAAATCAATTTTGTACATAACATTTTAAAATCATGTATTTATTAACTAACATTTATGAATTAATTATCCTATGAGGTTTTGGTGGGGAGGGTGGGAATTCTTTTCTGCACTTGTAAAACATGCCCCGTGTCAGAGCAAGTTTTAAATTTTTACACACACACACACACACATACATACTTTAGGATCAATTAAAAATATACTTTATCATTATTATAAATACATAAATCAACAGTATAAACAAGTAGTTCTAAGTTTGAAGAATGCAGCTGCTATTAGCCCAAGTCTTACTCTTCATCCACGAATGACTATGGAAACTATCACACCAACTCTCATAATTTTCCCCTGATATTTATTCTATTATAACTTACAAAAAAACTGTTTATGTTGCTTCTGATTGTATCCAAGTCCTGAGACACATTGAGGGACTGCTCTTTCCAGTAATTCAGAGTTTGCTGAGAAGATTCCAACCACTTGGTTAACTGATCTGAATCTTTGTTATAACTAACAGGAGCAAAGAGAAAGGAAATTAGAAATAATAAACATCACTCACATATTTTCTTCTGTTTCACTACATGTCTTCCTGTGTTGTCCAGCTCTATTATTCAGGAAAATCATGATTTTAAGGACTATACCTCATTTCATCCTGGGCCCCAAATCTGATGCTCTTGGCATCTTCTATGATTATTATGACTAATCAAGAACAAAGAGGCATTTTCAAGTCTAAAATAGTCTTTAAACTCATGGGTAAAGACAATGATTATTTTTATTCATCAAATGTCCTCCATAGATTTGTGTGTAGTAAAAATATAATCAGCATTTGTATAAGTTGTATAACAGCAAACTGCTGTTGGCTGCCTGCCAACATATTTATTTGATGTGATGAAAATATGCAAGCAAAATGCTGTCCCTCTTGTAACTTAAAATGTCTTTAGGTTAAGACAGCTCCCCTAAGAGGCAGGGAAGAGAATGAGGTTTAAATGTTCTGTTTTCTGCCTCCCTCAAGGAATTCAAGTTTTGATCAGCTAAAGCAAAAAAATTATCTGAAGAACTCCAAAGACTTTTCAAACTATTGTTAGCTAACATTATTTTTTAAATTTAAAAAATATTTTAGTTAGAGTGAAAGAGAGCAACATCATAATATAAAGGTAACGTGTATAATTTTATAACACAATTTCTATTTTCCATGGAACTCACTACCAATTATCCTGAGTCTTACACACCAACAACAGAGACTTTAGATCCCATTTAGCCAGGAAGAGGGACCCAACTGCTTTAGACTGTCAAAAACCATGCAACGAGAGGACCGCATGTAAACTGATTGGCAGCAGGATCCCTCTGAGGTCTTTTTCCACAGCAAAATCTGATGCCAGTCAATCCTAAGAAAACATACCTGAGCAGATGCTTGAGAAGCGTCTGTAGTCTGTGTAGCTCGTGATCAATTTTTCTGTTCAGGGACAACCACTGCTCTTCCAGTTTGGCAATCTGGCCCTCGAGTTCAGGACAGCTCACAGATGCCACCAGCTGTTTACCTTCATTCAGAGTCTGGTAAAGCCGGGCATGCTTTTCATCAATGTTTCTTTTTATTTGCTAGTAAAAATAAAGTCACAGAACAAATTATTTACAAATGAAACCAGCCAATCAGTTTATGAATACTTCATGAAAAATCTACAGTAGAGGCTACTGAAGAAACAGTAACACTTTCCTAACCCTCAAGAATTGCAGTCTGGCTGGACAAATAGGATTTATGAATTATTAATTATCTTTCAGGGTGAAATTGTCCATCCAGTGCATTTCTATGGCACAGACTAATACATGCAACAGAAAATGAGAATTCAGATTTAGATCTGATAGTTAATGCCTCCACCTAGAAACAAAAAAGGTGGCAGTCTACAGGGCCCATTTAACTTGTAGATAGGGTTTGAGTGACTGGAAGATTATTCTGAAAACTCAGGAAGTTTTACATAGAAATCAGGATTTCCTGTGACTCGGGGAAAATGGGACGATCTAGCGAGCGGGGTCTGCATCTGCATGTGGTGACGGGCAGGAACCGTGCAGGAACAGCCTGCTCTCCTAGGTTCTCCTCCACCGCAGTCCCCACCAGCCCTCCAACTGTCCACCCAATCATCATCCCTTATTTCCCATCTCCTGCCTGGCCCCTAGAAGGATTTTATATTGCAGCTTAGGTATGAAGGGGATCAACAGGAAAACATTTCTTCATTATCCTTTAGACCCAAATAGTAGGGGAAAACTCATTTTGAGAAACTTCTGGATATAAAGAGTCAGGAAAGAGAAGGAAAGAGAACTTTAGAAGAATTAATTAAAACAACACATTGCTAATCCAACTTCATGAAAAGCAAAAGAAAATTCTTCAAAACTGTGAATACAATGACCCCCCCTCCCCCGGAAGAGAACTCTGTCGAAAGGCAATTATCTTCTGCAGTTGGGCTCAGCTAATGACATGTTTCCTGACAGTTATTTAAATTTAATCTTAAATAAATTATGATCAAAACAGAACATGTGCGATTTTCCAATTAACTTAAGCCTTTTTAAAAATTACTAAAAAATTCGAACTCCATCTTCTAGTTGCAACTCCCTCTCGAGTCGGCTCTGAGAAGTTTTAATTTCCCAATTTTATACACGGGAGTCAGACTACATTGGTCCCTTGGCCCGTGAGGTGCTAACCAGCATTGGAACATGGCTTGTTCAACTCCAGATGTCACACAACTGACCAACCCTGCGTTCCCTGGCCCACAGATGTCCACCAATCAAGATACACACAGAGCTCTCCATGACGCAGAAGACTAATAACAACCTAGAGAGTGCGCCAAGTGATGTGGGCTTTACTAGATACCTGTCTTCTTTCAGTCTGGAAAGCGCATTTAAAAATTCTTAGAACAATTATTTCATTTTTTATAATATTTCAAATTAACAAAATAACTGGTTTTATTTTAAGGTATAGGGCCATTCTTGGGGAAATAATCAGATATGTAACAGGTTAGCTAATACGAACTGCTTCCTAATATAATGATGTTTAAAAGGCTGTTTTCAACTGCATTCTTCTAGCTGTGCAGATGGTACCTTCTGAAGCCCTAGGCTAACAAAGAATTAAACTGCAGTTTCTCGCCCCCAGAGGATTCAGATTTATCTCTGAGTTAGGCTCAATATGAGAAGATGGCAAAGAGGTTAACTGCAGCTTTCAAGACATCTAGAGAGCATAACTACAGCATTCCAGCCTCTGGAAAATGTTCCTTATAGGAGCTAAAATGTCTCTGAGGAATGGCAGGGCCCTGCCAAGTGTTTCATGTTTTCGGTTTCCATCCCGGCTGGTCAGGCAACAAATCTGCTTTTGAGTTTTAAAGTTGATATCTGATAGCAAACTCTGGCCGCACAGCTCAGATTCTGACTACATACATTCCAAAGTTAAAACTAAGTGTTTATAAAGTTTCTGTTGAGAAGATTTGAAACTTGTTTCTACCTTGTTGGTCATGTTCTCAATGGCACTCGAAAACCAAAAGTTCTATCTTTTCTATGGCATTGAAATTTGAGACACAGATACTTTGATAATAACAATACTGAATGTTATGCACAAAAAAAATGTCAAGTTTGAAGGCTTTTTATATCACTGGTGGCAGGTAACAGATCATTGCCCATCTCATGGGCTATGTCCAGTTAGGGCTTCACTGCAGTCATTAAACTCAAAATATGTTTAGAAGCCCATGTTTTACAAAGTTCTTTCCATACTTTACCTCATTTCCACACCCACTGACATTCACTTCCAGAGACAGGTAGAACCAGCTCGATTACCTTCTACAGCTAAAGACACTGAGGCTTAGGGATAGAAAGTTGACAAGTGAGAGCCAGGACTCAAAGCGAGTCCTGATCCCACATGAGCCATGGTTATGCTGAGGAGCCCACACGCAAATCTGCAGTTTCCCTGAATATGTCTCATTGTGAGCTCTGTGATGAACGACATTTCATTTCAATTCAAACCGATTCAAAGTCAGGCAATTTAGTCAAAACACAATAAAAATGCAAAATGTTACAGACCATAACTCTGATGGCTTCAATGGAAGTAAAATACCTGGTAAAATGAAATCCTTTCCACTAATCTTTCTTC